CTAGTTGGCGGGTACTCTGCTGTTGTTTGCTCCTTCTTTCCAATCAAACGTCTGTCGTCCTTATCTCCCCTCTTTCTTTCCAATCAAACGTCTGTCGTCCTTATCTCCCCTCTTTCTTTCCAATCAAACGTCTATCGTCCTTATCTCTCCTCCTTCTTTCCAATCAAACGTCTATCGTCCTTATCTCTCCTCCTTCTTTCCAATCAAACGTCTGTCGTCCTTATCTCCCCTCCTTCTTTCCAATCAAACATCTATCGTCCTTATCTCTCCTCCTTCTTTCCAATCAAACATCTATCGTCCTTATCTCTCCTCCTTCTTTCCAATCAAACATCTATCGTCCTTATCTCCCCTCCTTCTTTCCAATCAAACATCTATCGTCCTTATCTCTCCTCTTTCTTTTCTTTGTCCGTGACTGTCTAGCAACACTCCTCCTAACCTCCAGCACTTGTATGATGAGCTATTGGAGTCACAAGTGCCGTAAAACTGAAGTCTGTGTTTTTTATGTTGTTGTCTGGGCAGGCGGTGTCCCCGGGTCGGAGGTCAACCACCAACGCCTACCTGGAGGGTCTGCTGTCTGGTGAGTTGAGGGGTGGGGAGAGGGGCGTTGACGGTGGGTGTTTCACTGCTCACCCACACAACGTCTGTCTAGGTATGGTTCATTGTTTCTTTATCGTGGGTGGTTGAGTGCGGTTCTGGTGTGGTCTGCTCTTTCTTTCCTATTAAACATCTATCCTCCTACTTATCTCTAATCCTTTATTTACATTTTTTAAAATGACTGTCTTGAAACACCTGTAGTCCTGGGCACTATTAGGACCCATTTATGTTGCAATTGTCATAAAACTCTTCCTAAAACAAGTGTGCTTCTCTTTACTCAAACAAATGAACAAACCAAACAACCAAATGAACAAACCAAACAACCAAACAGACAAACAACCAGATGAACAAACAAACAGACAAACAAAGAAACAACCAAACAGACAACCAAACAGACAACCAGATGAACAAACAAACAAACAAACAACCAAACAGACAAACCAACAAAGTATTTTCCTGTCCCGTCCACAGACAAAGTGATAGTACAGCTGACTCTACTGCAGGGCAAGGACTTGGTGGCCATGGATAGAAACGGTGAGAGAGTCTGTCTATCTGTCTGTCTGTCTGTCTGTCTGTCTGTCTGTCTGTCTGTCTGTCTGTCTGTCTGTCTGTCTGTCTGTCTGTCTGTTACCTCATACAAACAGTTGTCTCCATCATCACCATAGCTGCTGCTGTTGTTGACGCTCTATCATTATCATCATCATCATCATCATCATCATCATCACCGTCATCATCATCATCATCATCATCATCATCATCATCATCAATTTTTGTTGCAAAGTTTGATAAAGTGGGGAATGGATATCGTGACCATTTCAGCACCCTGATACTGTTGTAGTGGCAGGAGGGACGGCTGTAAAGTAGGTCACACATTTCTACAAGGTGGGAGTGTAAAGTAGGTCACACATTTCTACAAGGTGGGGGTGTAAAGTAGGTCACACATTTCTACAAGGTGGGGGTGTAAAGTAGGTCACACATTTCTACAGGGTAGGGGGTGTAAAGTAGGTCACATATTTCTACAGGATGTAAAGTAGGTCACATATTTCTACGGGGTGTAAAGTAGGTCACATATTTCTACAGGGTGAGGGGTGTAAAGTAGGTCACATATTTCTACAGGGTGTAAAGTAGGTCACATATTTCTACAGG